AAAAAGAGGTAAACAGTTCTGTAGAGTTGAGAAGATTTGTTATTAGGACTAGCTATTACAGTCCCTGAAGTTTCAGCACTACATGTGATTCACTCCCTCTCTGAGTGGACTTGTTGATTGTAGGTGACCAATAAGAGCCACCACTGCAACACATCATCAGTTACCCTGACGTTCCTGGGTGTTTCTGCCTTTTATCACAAGACACCCTCAGTCGAGGCTGGCTCACCAAAGGCTGATCCAGACCTGGGAGAAAATTAGGTGTCATCTTATCTGGGTGATACAGTTTCAAAAGTTGGCACTGGCTATTTCATTTTGGGGATATCACTACAACAGACACTTTTCACATAGCTAGTCATTTGATATATTGTAAATATAAAAGGTAAATATTTTAGATTTAGTAGATTTTTATTTTAAGCAAATGTAGCTTAGTTTGTTTATTTTTATTAACCAGTTTATTGAGTTTAAATGCCGTCTTCTCATTTAGTTTCTAAATGTCTGCCATTACTCAAACAACTGAGCCTCATCATTTTTTGGTTGTTTAGTGTGTGTGTGTTGTTGTGATGGGGATGTTGGGACATATTTCCTCTTGGTGGCATGCCTGAGTGTAGTAGAGGCTTATGTATCAGCATGTGTGTTGTTGTGGGGGACTCCGGAGCAATGTGAAGCACATTGTATTGTACTGCTGGTGTGTAAGGTCAGCACTTTCCTTCCACCATATCAGTTAGTCACTCACCCACCCACCCTTCACTGCTAACAGGACGAGCCCACAGCGGAAACCGGAGGTCACCTAATCCCTCTGTGACTCCCCGACTTGTTGGCTCAGGGCTTTCTATTGTTGCTCCATGCGGAGTGGCCTCACTCAGCTACTCTCAATTATGTTGTCCTGCTTGAAAACTCATTTTGTTTATTGGTGCATTTGGTCTCATTTTGGCTCTTTCTCCTAACCTGGAAGCATCCAGTGGGTGACCTGTTGGCTTGGTGTAGTAAAATGGTGTTGTGTTTGCCACCAGGCTGTCTGGATTTGACCAGTAACATGGAAAAACGTGGCCAAATGACTACGACTGTGGCCTCTAGAAGCTGTCTGTGCCTTTCACATCAGATGGGATTGGTTTCTACATTACTTTAGAACATGTTGAGCATGTTTTGTGCCTACTTGACCCTGCTTTTCAGTCCCTGTATCCCTCCTCCTGTGATCCTGAGTAGGCAGAGGGAGTGAGAAAGGGGATCCGGGAATTTATTGTGTTTGTTAACAACCTCAGATGAAAGCCTGCATGCAATTGTAAAACAGATGTCTACTCCCCCCTGCTCCCCCCACCCCACCATACCTCAGTGACCCCTGGTTCATGTTACTGGCTCACCTCCCCCATCAGAGACCCTCATTGTTCCACCAAAGCCTGACTCCCCCAGAATGCTAATGACATGTTGTCACCCTGCATACAAACAAAATGACATGACATATTGCAATTATGGGTCTGACCAACTCAGGAATGAAAATAGGGGTGTGGGGGATGGGATGAGGGTACAAACAAAGCAAAGACTCTCTTGCCTCCAGATAAATTTGGAGAGCTGATAAAGATCTAGGCATGTATTTATTTCATATAGATTTCTTTTTCCAAGATGCTTTATTTTTGTTCACTGGCCATAAGTCTGAATTTAACCTCCTCCTCATGTCAAGCCACTGGTGGTGGCTGCAACTCTTTTTCCCTTCTCCTCCTCCTCATGAGCATGTGTTTGTTTTACTTGGCCACTGACTCCATGTAAGCCATGCACAGTTTAACTCACAACTACCCTGAGGCAGACATGACCTTTCCGCCTTTTAAAAGCCCAGCACCGGACTCGATTGTGGGGGGCCCCCTACCACTTATTCCTCCAGTCCTGAGGGTGATTTCTGTTGTCAAGCCACGATTTTACCCAGTCATCCATCTATCCAACCAGCCATTCATCACTGTCACCATCTCATCCATCTAAAATTCTGCCGACAAATCAGGGGGCCCCTGGGGCCAGAGCCACTCGGGCTCCCATAATGTAACAGGCCCCTGCACTCACTCTCAATAAACAAACACAGAGCCACTCGAGGTGCATGAGGCCTCTCAAATGGCAAACAGTTTCGTGCTTTGCAGCAATAGGAAGGGAAAAAGTGGCTGGTCTAAGTTTGTCAGATGTTTCGACTCAAAGAGGCTGAGAGACTTGTTTATGAGAGGGAAAGTGCTCATTTCAGGAGCCCCTCCCTTGGGTCTAGTGCCCGCGTTCATGTCGGGTCAACATGCTTTGGCTTCCTTTTTGTTTATTATTCTGTCTCAAGACTGGTAGTCTCAGCACTGGTTCTTCTCTTGATCATGCTCCCCTGTGTTTTCATGCTTTGATTGGCTGCTTTAGGAAGGAAGGCTGCATCAGCCTCACACTTCCTGCTTCCTCTTGTGCCCAGCAACAATCCAAAGTCCCCGCTCCACCTTCCCCAAGCAGGAAGTTTCCTTTCACTGGACTCTGCTCTTGTGTTGAGGAATCCTCTTTGTTAAATGCCTCAGCAGAGAGTCATTTAGTTTCATTTACTGTCAGTGTGACTCATAATGTTCAAAATACACAAATGCATTTACCTTTAAAATAGAGAACAGGGTTGAAGCTGAAGCAGCAGTGAGGGCACTGTGCTACAAGCTGCTACAAGCCTATTGGGTGGTGTGCACTGGAATGCATCTTGATTACAGACATGGCTCCCAGTATAAGCCCATCATCTCCACAGGCCTGACCACGATGCATAGTGATGCCTCTTTTTGGCACTGTAGCGCCAAAAAAGAGGCTAGTCCTTCTCTATTCAATCGCCATGTGGCATTTCAACTACTCCCATCTGCAGTGCTTGTGTGTATGTGTGTGTTTGTATGTTTTTTTCTTTCAGCACTTGAATGGCATGGCATTCTACTTGCCTGCTGGTCAGTGGTGAATAGCAATGTTAATGGGTTAGCTGGGAGGCTTTTTAGTGAGGTTTGGGAGGAGAGAAAGGAGCGGAGGAAGGAATTTGGGGATTATGAGGAGGAGAGGTAGGGGTATGAATTGGGGTTTGAGGCAGCAGCTGTTCCGCCTTCTCAATGGAAGAGTTCAACCTGGTCTGTCTTTTTTCTTTCTCCTCTTTTTTGCTTCAGTCCTCAGCAGGATACAGTATTTCTCTCTTCCTTTCATGAACCTTTTGTTCCTCCATACCACCTCTCTTCTGCCTGTCCTGTCCTCGGCCTTGTTCGTGTTAATGAGTAGCAGTAGCTGTTAGTGAAACAGCTGGTCAGAGAAGAGATGCTGTTTTGAGAGGAGGATTGAGTCAAGTGACATGCAGGCCTATTGGACAAACTTATAAATTCTGCTCATGCTGAGTATGGTTCTTTGTATCATTGCTGTCATGCTCTTTACTTAATACACACCACTTCACAGCACCTCCACAACTCGGTGAACCACAGTGATAGGAAAAGGCAGAACCGAGTCAAAGTGAGCATCGTGGTCAGTCGAGTAAATCCCCTTTATGACTTAAATGGAGTGGGACCCATGTGCAGACCTGTTGTGTGTGTGTGTGTGTGTGTGTGGTCACTTGTGGCTTCCAAATGCATTTCATTCAGCTGAACCACAGTGAAAGGTCGCCATAGACAGAGACAGTATCTCTGAGTGAATCTGATATTCTCTTTGTCCTTGGCTCTGCTTTACAGCTCACCTCTTTTGGACTCTGGTGTTTACATTGCCTGTCTGCCTTTCTTTGCTTCTTCCTGGTCACTGGTGTGGACTTTTGTCTCTTGCTATGCATGCTTCATTTCACTTGGCTATCATGTCCTCTTTCTACCTTGCCTGATCAGTCTCCTGCAATGATCTTCTTTATTTCCATTCTTTTATTCTTCTCTCACTTTCCTCTATCTTCTGTTGCCCTTTGGCCTACATGTTGCCTCTCACTGGCGTTGTCAGCATCTTATGACATCTGTCATGAGCTATTTAAACCTCCAAGGCAAATTTCTTCAAGGAAAGGAAGGAAACTTATGTACACTGTATAAATGTATGTGTGTGTGTGGCTGAACTGACTTACCAGAAGGACAGGAACAGGTGACAGGCAGCAGACATAATCCCTCTTCTGATGTCAGATTTACCCATGTGTTCACGGGTGTGCTTTGCATACATGTATGTGTATTTTGTGCATATATATGGGTTGGTGTGTGTGTGCATTGTACACATGAATGTGTGTGTCTGTGCATGAATGTATGAGGCATGAGGATGTGAGAAGCAGCCGCTGGAATGCTCTTGCAGAGTTAACTGGGTGCCGTATCATTTTTATTCTCCTTTATGGCATGCACTCTGACAAATTTCACACTATATTAAGTTCATGTTTCACCACCGCTACACACAGCTGAACTCTCTACCTGCATTTCTTTATTCCAAGTTGGATGTGTAAAATTAGGTGTCACCCTATCTAGGTGATACAGTTTCAAAAGTTGGCATAAGAATTAATTGACTGCTGAGTACAAACAGATGCCTTTCATTCAGGCTGCTTCACTTCTAATTCTTGGCACTTTTTTGATTTGGTTTTCTTTTGTTTTGTATTATTGTACTGAAGACATGCTTACTCTCGTGGAATGTGGGATGACTGGTTGTGTTTGTTGGGAGAGAGACAGTAACAGCAGGGGGGTATGTGGTTGGTGGTACTGGCTAGGCAGGGAGTCTGCATTTTTGTTTCAGGGCTGGGCTCATGAGCAGTGTCTTAGCTGGAATGGACAATGTTTTTATGAGTAGTCAACACTGTGCACAGTCTTGCCTCTGTTTTTCCTTCCATATTTCTGACCTTTACCTTGACATAAAAACACGTCCCACTCAACCTTGCGGACTTGCACACAAGGTGAAAAGTTCACACCATTACTGAGCTTTCAAAAGGGGCTTGATTGATCTGGAGGAGCTGGTTATGTGCTGTGTCATATGACGTTGCCTGGTGTCACTGTTGACCTTGTTCACCTCCACTTGCAAATGTCTTCTAATGTTTGCAGAGTGTCAGCCTGGCTTCTTCAAAGCTGCAGCATCCGGTGACAAGTGTGAGCCATGTCCTGCCAACACCCAGAAGCTGGACTCTGGTGCCCTGTTTTGTCCTTGCATGGAAGGTTTCTATCGTGCCCCAAATGATCCCCCTGCTGGACCCTGTTCAGGTAACAAGTCCTCTTGATAGCTAATGGGAACCTTGCTTTAAGCTAAATTATTATGGTTGCAATTTTTTTTCTGAATTTGATTTCTGGTTTCCTGACTTTGAGGACATCCCTTAAAATTCAAAACCTAACTCATTTTAGACTCTATTGTTGCTTTCATGTCATTTTGCTTCCTGTGGTTCCCCTCTTTCCTTTTTCTGTCTAACAAACTCTTTCCAAATCTGTGTACATCAGGCCCTCCGTCTGCCCCACAAGACCTCATGGCCACCACTAGCCAGCTCTCCGCAGGAAAACTTATCCTCTACTGGAACCCACCAGAAGACACTGGAGGTCGAACTGACATCACATACAGTGTTGAATGCCAGCGCTGTGAGGGTAATGTGTGCCAGCCCTGTGGAGAGAAAATCCGATATGAGCCGGCCAGTGTGGGTCTGACTGACACCAGGGTTTTAGTGAGTGAGCTGGACGCTCACCTCAACTACACGTTCACAGTGGAGGCACAAAGCGGTGTGTCACAGTTTGTTAGTCAGGCAATGCCACGGACTTATAGACCGCCATCCAGCAGTTCTCTGACTACATCGCTGCACTACACAGGTGAGTGCTGTATATGGCAGTGGAGTGACACCATCTGTGCTGCAGTAATGACAAATGCTATCTGTGAGGCAGTGGCACTCAGCAAGTTGAATCGTGCTGCAGGAGTGCACTGAGCTCACAGATTTTATCAGTGGAGTGCAGCTGTATTCTTTTTTTGAGGTTTTCACATCTCTCTCTCATATATTTCTCATCTCTGTCCTTAGATCCCCCCACGATCACCTCTATGCGACTGCTGGAGAGGACCCCCACCAGCTTGTCCCTTTCCTGGGATGTATCCCCCCGCCCACGGGTCCAACCCCATCCCATTCGCTATGAAGTTATCTACCGCAAGAAAGTACGTCATTCTGTGTGTTGAAATATACTTGAAAGAGTTTTATTCTGCACTTATCACTATAAATTTTAAGGAAACTGATATCATGGTGCTGGCCATGGTAAAACTGAATGTGTATCCTCCATGATCAACACTTAACACTTTTTTTTCCCTCTCTGGCCTCCTTTCCTCTGTCTGACAGAATGATAACTTGAATATGCATACCTACAGTGTGCTCGTACTCGAGAATACGTCTGTACAGATCAAGAATCTGGCCCCGGACACAGCCTACCTGATCAAAGTGCAGACCCTCGGCAGCAATAGTAGCCCTGGAGGCTCCAGCCTGGAGGAACAGTTTGAGACCTCTCCTGGAGGTACAGAAGAGAGCAGCTGTATAAAAAGTTTTACTAACTTTGTTCAAGAACAGGATTTCTCTGATCCGTGTCTTTACTTGTTCAGAAGGCCTTACTCAAAGCAACATGGCAGTCATCTTCGGTGCAACAGTTGGAGGAGTGGCCATTTTGCTCATAGTGGCCGTGGTCCTGTTTCTACGCAGACGGTCAGTAACTGCCTCCCCTCAGGTGTCCTCTCTGTCTCTCTGTCCTGTGAATCAGTTGGAATACACCCTCCTTCACTGGTTTCCTCCCTCATTCTTCTGCTCTTTCTTTGTGGGGGCTCCAAATGGCCTTTCCATTCAATCTCCTCACCTCTCTTTCTCTTTTCCTTTAGCCAACTTTCTCTTTCTCCTTATCTGTGTTGCAGCACTCTCTAGAGAAGAATTTGTGTTGAATGTGCCTTGTCATCACTGAATGGTTAGTTCTAGTAAGTGCCGGGACCTTTGAAAGGAAATTGGTCCAGAGTGGTACATTGTTGTTGATAAGAGGCGCTTGGTTCTTTCTGTACAAGACTTTGAAAAGGTGACCTGGGCCTGTACTGTAGCAGACTGTGACCCATCTGTTCACCTTCTTCCCGCCTGCTTGTCTGTCTTTCAGTTTCTGAATCAGGTTGGCAAACATAGTCTATCATTAGCGTTTATCAAAGGGCCGCCTCTCTTTGAATGGAAGCATTGCGCCAGTGTCTGAATCTTTTGAAAGCTTTAACACGTCTAGAAATGTCTGGTTACAAAGGTTGCTATGTGCTAATGATATTAAAGCAGACAGATGATATAGTTATTTGTTTTTGCAAGTAGAATAATTTGCACATGGGGTTCATTTTTTAACTCAGGAAAAGAAACTCTCACACCAGGCAAGGACCAGAGGACACCTACTTCTCCAACTCAGGTAGAAAAAAATATCTTATTTATCTCTCTTTCTCTTTTATTTATTTTATTAATTTATAAGGTACAGCATTTTATTTCTTTTTCTCACAGAGCAATTGAAACCTCTGAAGACCTACGTGGATCCACATACATATGAGGACCCTAACACAGCTGTCCTGAAATTTGCTACTGAAATCCACCCCAGCCACGTAACCAAACAGAAAGTTATCGGAGCTGGTGAGTGGGGGTCCTGCTGAGGCAGTTTGCTGTGGGGCTTAACTTGCAGGATGCTGAAAGATTTTTCCAGCCCCTAAATTTGCTGCTCATATTGTTGTGTTTATTACATCTGAAGAGCCTGACTGACAGTGGTTAATTCAGCGAGATTAACGTCTATCTGGCTGAGTCCCAACACAAGTTGAGACATTATGTTGTGTGGCAACTCTTGGCTGCAGGTTCTTTGTGTTTTGGCTTAAGTTTATATGAACAATTAGATAAAGTGTCACAGAAGCAGTATGTGGAGGGATATCAGTTCATCTTTCTTTCATACAAGATTCATTAATTCCAGTGCGACCACCTGTACCCTTTGAACCAACAGTCTTTTTACAGCATACACCCCCTCTGCAGTTCCCACGACCATGCCCCCCCCTCATGTGACAGCTGATTCCCATGCTCCCACACCACAGGCCAGCTACCAATTACACAATATAGACTGCCTCTCTCAACACCCAGCCAGAACACACCTCTGTGAGAGAGCCTCAGGCAAAACGTCCTTATTTTCACGCTGTTGCGCAGTAAAGCCCTGCAGCTAGAAACCTAGGAAGGCAAATCAAATCCACATTCATTTGATATCCCTTTTTAAAATCAATTGTCCCATTGATGTTGTTTTCCTGCAGGGGAGTTCGGTGAGGTGTACCGTGGTATTCTGAAGGTACCAGGGAGGAAAGAGGTGGCGGTGGCTATCAAGACACTGAAGCCAGGCTACACGGAGAAACAAAGGAAGGATTTTCTGAGTGAGGCGTCCATCATGGGACAGTTCACCCACCAGAACATTATTCGACTGGAGGGGGTGGTCACCAAATGTAAGGATTTCTGTGAATATTGATACTCTTTCAACTTTTAGCATTATTTTCTTTCCTGTTTCAGGCACCTGATTTGTTTTGTTTTTATGTGTGTGTAGTTAAGCATGCCATGATTGTGACTGAATACGTGGAGAATGGAGCACTGGACAGGTACCTTAGGGTAAGTCCACCATATACCATTTTTGCTAATGGAAATATTTCCTAATATGACTATTATACACAGTGATGATACACAATATTGGCAAACTGAAATTCTGTGTCATAGAATCTGTTTTAATATTTTTGTACTATCATGTCTGTGTTTCCTTTTTGTTTTGCTTTTTTCTCCCTTCAGGACCATGATGGCGAGTTTTCCTCCTTCCAGCTGGTGGGCATGCTCCATGGCATTGCCGCAGGCATGAAGTACCTCTCGGAAATGAGCTATGTTCACCGTGATTTAGCTGCCCGCAACATCCTGGTCAATAACACCCTGGAGTGTAAAGTGTCAGACTTTGGCCTGTCTCGGGTGCTGGAGGATGATCCTGAGGGGACATACACCACAAGTGTATGTGGATATGGAACTTCTTGTTAGATTTAATCAAAAATATTCACCTCAGTCATCTAAAAGCGAGGTGTAGCATGGTGGTAGAAACATTAATTTTTAGATTCTTTATCATTGTTTTTTTGTCTTTAACTTGAAGCATTTTTCTTGAGCAGGGAGGTAAGATTCCCATTCGCTGGACAGCTCCAGAGGCAATCGCATACAGGAAGTTCACCTCGGCAAGCGATGTGTGGAGCTTTGGCATTGTCATGTGGGAAGTCATGGCTTTTGGTGAAAGGCCTTACTGGGACATGAGTAACCATGAGGTGAGTTCCAGTGTTAACATCAAGTTTACAGTTTGCACCGTTAACAGAGATTTTGCTGTTAGACCCAAGCTAACTTCCCATTCTTATTTTAAAACATGTCTTTAGAAATATCAAATTCTCCTAACAGCTCTAGTCACCTCATCAACTGCTTGCAGGTGATGAAAGCTATCAACGAAGCTTTTAGGCTGCCGGCGCCCATGGACTGCCCCTCAGCTGTTTACCAGCTCATGCTGCAGTGTTGGCTTCAGGATCGCTCCAAGAGGCCACGTTTCGGAGACATCGTCAGCCTGCTGGACAAGCTGCTGCGGAGCCCAGATTCCCTGAAGACCATTGCAGACTTTGACCCACGGTAAGATTCGCATATAGATTTACATATGACACTAAGAGACCCTAAAGTAGCTGCCACTGTCAGTAACTAGTTTTCCAAAGCAGCCCTGTAACCAAAACCTTTGTAATACAACTAGTATAGAATCCTTTTTACTCTCACGTCTCCTAAATCCTCTGTTTTTCCTTCTGGTTAATGGTCAGATTTTAAGTTAAGACTTAAATTAAGGCTTAAGATTTCACAGGTGTAAGACCTTTAGTGATTTACTGAAGACTGTCAAACAGGATAAACAACAAGTCTTAATTTCTCATGTGAAAATTCTGTGGCATGGCACTAAAAA